AACGGGATTAGAAACCCATAGGCATTAGAGCGGCGGCTCAACGGAGGGAGGATCAGAAGGAAATGAAATTTACATGGGTTTTAAAGGGAGAAATCCATTTGCTACGGATCCGGGCCTTTAGATGTTCTCCTCCATGGTCTCGTTTGGGGATAATGGGCTTGCCATCTGGCCCGCCTGATAGGGGATAATGGTGTTGGCATGATGGGTGCATTATTGTATATATTACTAGCCAGGCCCTGGCACACGTTGCTGTGGCCCAATCTATGTATATGTGTTTTGTGCGTATATATTTGTGTATATGGGTATATATGTGGTTTTGTGCATGTGTTGTAATGTATTTTTTATTTTTTGGCTTTTTAAGTCTCTCCTGCTGTGTTTTTCAATGTTTTTGTGAGTGATGGTCACTCGTTGGCCTGATCAGTGTCTTGTGTCCAAATTTGGTGTCAATTCATCCAATAGTTTTTGAGTTATGCTAATCCCACAAACGAACATTACATTTTTATTTATATAGACTAGCTGTACCCACCACACGTTGTGGGAAATTGTCCATGTTCTTCTTGTGGATTTACCTATTCCTCCCCCCCCCCCCTTTTTCTTCCCCTTCCACTTTCTCTCCTTTCTTACTTCTCTACCTCTTTCTTTTATTCCTTCTTTCACTCTTTGGTTTCATCCTCCCTTATCTTTTTCCTTCCTTTCCTCCCCCTTTCTCTACTTCTTCCTTTGTCTCCTTTCTTACCTCCCTGTTTTGCTCTCTAACTCTTTCTCTCCTCCCTCTTCTCTCTTGTCTCTTCCTTCCCTCCCCTTTTTTCTCCTTCTTCCTCTCCTCCTTCCTTCACTCCTTCTTTCCTTCTTCCCCTTTTCTTCCTTCTTTTTTCTCTCCTTCTTCCTCTCTACCTCTTTCTTTCCTTCTTCTTCCCTCTTTTCCTCCTCCTTCCTCTTTCCTTCCTCCTTCTCCTCTTTCTCCCTTCTTTCCTTCTCTCCTTCCTCCCTCTTTTCCTCCTCCTTTCCTTCCTCTTCTCTCCTTCTTTCCTTTCCTTTTTTCCTTCTTCTCCTTCCTCCTTTCTTTCCTCTCCCCTTTTTCTTTCCCTCCCTCTTTCTTCCTTCTCTATCCTCTTTCCTTCCTTCCTTCTCTTTTTCCTTCTTCTCTCTTCTCTCTTCCTTCTTCTTTCTCCTTTCTTCCTTCTCTACTTCTTTCTTTCCTTCCCTTTGCTCTTTGGTTCCATCCTTCCTTCTCCCCTTCCTTCCTTCCTTCCTTCTCTTCCTTCTTCTTCTTTCCTTCCTTCCTTCCTTCCTTCCTCCTCCCTCCTTCCTCCTCCCTCCCTCCTCCCTCTAGACATAGGCCAGAAAGAGTTGGGCTCAAGGGCAGTGCTTGAGAGAGGTGGGTGGGGGGGGGGGGGGAGTCATTTTTGCGTATGCGCTGTATTGTCATTTAGCTTTTTTGTGTTTTTGAGTCCTGCTTTTTTGTCTTTTTTCTTCTGCTGTGTTTTTCAGTGTTGTTATGAGTGATGGTCACTTGTTGGCCTGAGAGGTGTCTTGTGTCCAAATTTGGTGTCAATTCGCCCAGTGGTTTTTGAGTTATGTTAATTCCACAAACGAACATTACATTTTTATTTATATGGATTATTATATTATATATATATTTAATTATGCATCATTATATTATTATTTATATTTATTATTATTATTAATAGTAGTGGTAGTATATTAAGTTCTTACAAAAATCATCCCTTGGTCTGAATTCTCTTATTGACACTCTATGTCAGTGGTTCTCAACCTACCTAATGTCGCGACCCCTTAATACAGGTCCTCATATTGTGGTGACCCCCAACCATAACATTATTTTTGTTGCTACTTCATAACTGTAATTTCGCTATTGTTATAGTTTGTAATGTAAATATCTGATATGCAGGATGGATTTTCATTCACTGGACCAAATTTGGCACAAATACCCGATACGCCCAAATTTGAATACTGGTGGAGTTGGAGGAGATTGATGTTGTCATTTGGGAGTTGTAGTTGCTGGGATTTATAGTTCGCCTACAATCAGAGAGCTTTCTGAACTCCACCAATGATGGAATTGAATCAGACATGGCCACACAGAAATCCCATGACCAACAGAAAATGCTAGAACGGCTTGGTGGGCATTGACCTTGAGTTTGGGAGTTGTAGTTCACTGTGGACTCAAACAATGATCAATCTGGACCAAACTTGGCACGATCACTAAATATGTCCAAATGTGGACTCTGGTGGAGTTTGGGGAAAATAGACCTTGACATTTGAGAGTTGTAGTTGCTGGGATTTATAGTTCACCTACAATCAAAGAGCATTCTGAACCCCACCAATGATAGAATTAGGCCAAACTTCCCACACAGAACCCCCATGATCAACAGAAAATATTGTATATTCTGATGGTCTTCGGGAACCCCTCTGACACCCCCTCGCGACCCCCCCAGGGGTCCCGACCCCCAGGTTGAGAAACACTGCTCTATGTGTTGCATTTCAAGCTTTTCTATTATTTTCCATCAGGGGCCATCTACACCATTGAATTAATTCAGTTTGATGCCACTTTAGCCTCCATGGCTATGGAATTCTGGGAGTTATAGTTTTTGCAAGGTCTTTAGCATTCTCAGCTCCTTGAATGCTTCCTCATAGCTCTTGTCTCTTTCTTCTGTGCAGAATTTGGTACACAATCGTCTTCTTTTCCTGTTCTGACGGAAGCAATGTTGATGAATTCTGACGCGTGCTTTTAAATGATGTCAAATCAAATTCAATCAGACCTCAACTTTTGCAAGATCTAGTTCTTTGGTTTTTTAGATTTTGGACAGTTTGAACTCAGAGTGCATCTACACTTAAAGTGGTATCAAACTGCATTAATTCTACAGTGTGGGTGCACTCAAGAGTCCTGGTTTTCCATCCCTAAAATATTGGAGGGGATCTGCTTCACCCATATTCGTTGATGATGTGCTATATTCCTCGCTCCCTCTTTGTTCATGCTAATTCATTTAAATGCATGCAGATTTCACAATTAACCTTTGGACCTGCCTTCTCTGTGACCTCTTCAAGCTGACACCCAAGCTCATTTGCACTGCATGCAAACAGATTGCACTCATCACACAGATGTGACCGTATTATATTTAGCCTAGGCCTGGATGAGCCAATCTGGATGCCCCATTTTGGAGTGTAATGCCCAGAATCCTCCTTCCCAGACTGGGCACTGTAATTCCATGATGTTTTTGAGCTCCAGAACTTTGTGTCCTGAGCAATATATATATATAGTGATTAATCATTCACAGTGTATTCTCTTAGGTTACATCTAGAATTAATGCAGCTTGACACCCACTACCTCTATACCTTCCTTCCCTCCTTCTTACTTTCCCTTCTTCCTTCCTCCTTCCTTCCTTCCTTCCCTCCCTTCTTTCCTTCCTTCCTTTATACCTCTTTTGTTTCCTTCCTTTCTTCTTTATTTCCTTCTTTCCTGCCTTTATACATCTATTATTTACTTCTTTCCCTCCCTTCCCTCCCCCCTTCCACTATACCTCCCTCCCTCCCTTCCTTCTTTCCCTCATCTATACTTCTATAACCTCTTTCCTTGTTTTCTTCCTTCCCTTTTCTATACCTTCTTCCTTCCTTCCTTCCTTCCTTCCTTCCTTCCTTCCTACCTACCTACCTACCTACCTACCTACCTACATCTATTATTTACTTTTTTCCTTCCTTCTTTCCTGCCTTCCTTCCTTTATACATCTATTATTTACTTCTTTCCCTCCCTTCCCTCCCCCCTTCCACTATACCTCCCTCCCTCCCTTCCTTCTTTCCCTCATCTATACTTCTATAACCTCTTTCCTTGTTTTCTTCCTTCCCTTTTCTATACCTTCTTCCTTCCTTTATACATCTATTATTTACCTTTTTCCTTCCTTCTTTCCCTCTTTCCTCTATACCATCTTTCTTTCCTTCCTTTCTTCTTTCCCTCTATACTTCTATAACCTCTTTCCATGTTTTCTTCCTTCCCTTCTCTATACTTCCTTCCTTTCTTCCTTTATACTTCTATTATTTACATCTTTCCTTCCTTCCCTCCCTCCTTCCTTCCTCTATAGCTTCTCTTTCTCTCCCTTCCTCCTTTCTCTCCTTTATCCTCTTTTTTTTCCATTTTTTTCTTTCCTTTCTTTCCCTTCCTTTTTATCTTCTCTCTTTCCTTCTTCCCTCCTCTATTCCATACTTTCTTTCTTCCCTTCCCTTCCATCTCTCCTTCTTCTAGGCCTCTTATTCTTTTTTTCATTCCTTCCCTCCTCTCTCTACTTCCTTCCTTCCTTCCTTCTTCCTCCCTCCCTCCCTTCTTTCCCTTCCTCTCCTCCTCCCTTCCCTCTTTCTTCCATCCTCCTTCCTTCCTTCCTTCCTTCCTTCCTTTCTTTCCCTCCCTCCTTCCTCTATACATTCTTTTTTCTTCCCTCCCTTCCACCTCTCCTTCTTCCTTTATACCTTCTTTCTTCCTTTCTTCCATCTTCTATTCCATACCTTCTTTCTTTCCTCTCTGTTTCCTCTATGTATCAACATTGCATACACTTTGACTCAACCATCTGACTCAGCTGGGGTTTTCTATCTGCTTTCTTCCTTCTGCATTTGTCTTCCTTGTCTTTGTCGGGGTGAAAATTTGGCCCCTTTGTGCGTTTGAGTGACATCCCTAAATGACCCTCTTTTGTCTTTTTTGTACCCATCTGTCTGCGAGTCAAAGGTCGTCCCAGAAAGTACTCAATATCCTTCACTTCCCAACGGCAAAGTTCAAGTTCTCCCTGGCTACAAATGGAATGTGCAACTTGGGCCCTCCAGGTGTTTTGGACTACAACTCCCACAATTCCTAACAGCCGGTAGGCTGTTAGGAATTGTGGGAGTTGCAGTCCAAAACACCTGGAGGGCCGAAGTTGGCTCATGCCTGACTTCAGCTCTTCCTTTAGGATTGCCAAATATCCCATATAGTAAGAAACATCTGTTCTCCTTCTGTTTTGCAGGACATCCTCCCAGGCTTGATGTGGGAACTGGAGCAACAGTTGGGTTTATTGCGTCTGAATCCGGAGAAGGCGCCTGGAGAGGCGGCAGAGACGGACAGCTGGCCCAGTTCAGGTTGGTACTCAAGCCACCAAAAAAAGGACATCTGTCGGGAGGGATCGGGTGGTGCCTGGCACAATGGGGTTGGACTAGATGGCCTCTGGGGGGACTCTTTGAAACTTTCCCCTTTGCTTCAGGGTCCTACTCCCGGATCATCGGCCGCCCGGAGTCCCGCCTCGGCTTTGCCAATGAGCGTCCCAAGTCCGTAGGTGAGTCCATGCCTTCGGATGCAAAATACCTGTTTTCATACTTGATGCAAAAACGGATAGGTTCGAAATCAGCATCTCCATGTACTTATCTCTTCTTTACCCACATTGGGACAAAATTAGCATACAATTAGATTAGCAGAGGGGTGTGAAAATACATATGAAGGTCATGTTATGGCAGCGGTTCTCAATCTGGGGGTCGCGACCCCCAGGGGGGTCGTCTGGCCATTTCAGAGGGGTCACGAGGCTGCTACCATTTGTAGCAGTAGCAAAATTACAGTTATAAAGGAGCAACAAAAATAATTTTATGGTTGGGGGTCACCACAACATGAGGAACCATATTTAGGGTTCCCGGTGTTAGAAAGGTTGAGAACCACTGTGTTATGGGTTATATGTCTGTCATGTTTTCCATTGTGTGCAAGTGGAATATGTCGGAGTCTCCTTCCAGTGATGTTTTTAAATAGTGTCTAGATGGCCATCTGTCGGGAGGGCTTTGATTGTGTCCTGTATGGCTAAATGGATAGCCCTTGGGATTATAAATGTAGAATAATAATAATAATAATAATAATAATAATAATGTAGAATAATATAATATTTGATATTAAATAATAACAAAGTATAATATACATGCATAATAATAGTAATAATAATAGTAATAATAATAATATAATAATAATAATAGTAATAGTATTGAAATAGAATTAGATAATACTTTGTTGTTAGATAATAAAAAAGTATAATATACAAACATAACATTAATAGTAAAAATATTGAAATAGAACGATGATGATGATGATGATGATGATGATGATGATGATGATGATGATGATGATAGAGGCTGGATGGTCATCTGTTGGGAGGGCTTTGATTGTGTCCTGCATGGCAAAATGGAGTTGGGCTGGATAGCCCTTGGGATTATAAATGTAGAATAATAATAATAATAATAATAATAATAATAATAATAATAATGCAGAATAATATAATATTTGATATTAAATAATAACAAAGTATAATATACAAGCATAATATTAACAGTAAAAATATTGAAATAGAACGATGATGATGATGATGATGATATAAAATCAGAGGCTGGACGGCCATCTGTTGGGAGGGCTATGATTGAGTCCTGCATGGCAAAATGGAGTTGGACTGTTTTCCGCCGGCATCTTATTCTTCCCTGCTGCTTTCCTCCGCAGGCGACGTGGCAAACAGCAGCAAAGATGGCACCAGCCGAGGCACCGTGCCACGTTCCTTCTCGGCCCCGTACTCCACCTCCCAGGACTACCCGGAAGACTCCATGTCAGGCCGCTACCCGCCGGACCCGTTCCTGTACCCGAGCCCCCTCCACGCGGTGGCCCTGCAGAACTCCTTGCTCCGGAGCCACCTCTACGAAGACTCCGCTTTCGCCTCGGCAGCCTCCCAAGCCTTGGCGTACCCTTCTGACCAAGAGGGCTATGCTGACGACTTCCCCTTCTACGAAGAGGCGGCTTCCCACTGCCACAAAGTGGAGAGCTACATCTCGCGCCTCATCCGCCGACGCAGCCAGCTCGTCCGGGGCAGCAAACCGCGCACGAGTTTGGGCTCGGAGTCCAACGTGGTCCGGCAGAATAGTCTCTGCAAGAGGCCTTTGGAGTTGTTACCACCGCCGCAAAGCGAACGTAAGCACCCGCCGTCCGTGGAAAGAGGGAGCAGCACACCATCGCCTTGTGGACACGAAGGAGGGACGTCTGCGGCTGCACGAATCTGGTCGTCGTGGGATGCTGCTGCGGAGAGGACACTATCTGCTAAAGTTGTTGATGATTATAGCCCTCCACCTCCATCCAGCCTCAAAAAAGCCCCCAAGCTCCAAGCTCTGGCCCACATGCGGTCACCCTCGGCAGATCAGTACGAGGCGTATCCGTCATCCCCTTTGCCAGATAGAGAAGCCGCCAACGTGCAGGACTCGTACGATGCCGAGGAAGGAGCCTGCTTGATGGTGAAGGCCCAGTATATCCCAGCACAGCAGCCCTCCAGGGTCCAGCAGGCCCACCACCGTCCAGGCAAAAAGAAGCCCCCTCCGCTCACAAAGGGACGCTCAGTGGAACTGTCCCCGGAAAGGGTTCCTCTGTTGCCAAGGGAGCGTTCGCGAGTTACCGGACCCCCGAAGAAGTGCCGCTTCACCGAAGATGGAAGTGGCGACGTTCGGAAAGCATCTGGGAGAAAAAGCTCACCCCGTTCTCGGAAAGCCGCTCGATCCCAGTCGGAGAACAGCCTCCTGAACAAACCGGGGGTCAAGTACGGGACGGCCGAACGCCACGAGGAAGCGGCGGCGAAACCGTCCCGACAACGCCGTCCTCACATCGGCAACACGGCGAGCGGCTGCCGTAAATGGCGCTCGACGGCAGAGATTTGCCAAGAAGAGTTGTCTCCAGGAAACGTGGCGGAGGCAAGTCATGTTCCACGGGGAATGACGCCAATCGGGTACGCTTACAACACCGGGAGTGACTCCGAGTGTCCGCCCGAACCGCCTCGGCAAGCCCCGACGTGCCGCATGGAAGAAGGCTTAGTCTACGGAGACAGCGAGTCCAGCGTCAGTGACGGGGACTCACCACCCGCTTACAGCAGTGGGGCCTCCAGCGACACGGATGAGAGTGGTGGCCTGGTGTGGCCCCAGCAGCTCTCCCCGCAACTCGTGTCGGCTTCCGGGCCGGGGAAGACGGTCGGCGGGCAGCCCAAGGTCTTCGTCAAGATCAAGGCCTCCCACGCTCTCAAGAAGAAGATCATGCGTTTCCGGTCTGGGTCCCTCAAAGTCATGACCACAGTGTAAGGGGAGTCCCAGTGGCCATTCGCATCTACATCCCTTCTTTTGTGGCTGAAAGTTTCCCCCCGCAAATGTTATCCCCTGCATTCCCTTCCCAGCATTAACCCCACAGACCAGTGGTTGCCAGTCTTTGGTCCTCCAGGATCCTCAATCGTTGGCCAAGGCATATGAGGCTTTTGATGGATAAAGTCCAAAATTCCTGGACGACTACAGTTTGGGAATCAAGTAGTTTCCAACATTTAATCTTCCACTTGTTTGGGGCCCCACGGACCAGTGGCTGCCAGTCTTTGGTCCTCCAGAATCCCCAATCATTAGAAGCGGAGGCTTCTGGGAGTTGAAGTCCAAAACACTTGGAGGACTAGATCTTGGGAATCAACTCATAGTGGTTGCCAAACTTTAGTCTTCCAGGTCTTTGAAATCCCAGAAGTCCCATCCATCTTGTCCAATTGTAGGGAATTCTGGGAACTGTAGTCCCAAACATCTTAGAGGACCAAAGCTTAGTCTGATCAGCTTCACTGCCCTTGACAAGAGCCGGGGATGTTGGGTATCCTAGTCCTTGTCTCCCCAGCTGCACGAAAAATGTGTCTTTCTTGTTCATCCTGGGTTTTTTTGGACTCTGACTTCCAGAATCCCCCTTCTACCAGCAATTCTGAGAGGGTTCCGGAAAAAAAAGTTGCAAACTTTTCTTTTCCATGCTTCTTTTTAATGGAGAGGTTATTTATTATGGGTTTTTGTACAGCCAACTTCTAAGGAGCCCACCTTTTTGGGTATCAACGCTCCGGACCCAGAATCCAATCCATGCCGTCGGTCTTGTAGTTTGATACGGATGTTCCTTCTTCTGTGTTTGTAAATAAAATTGGGTGTTTTTTTCTGTTGGCTTGTTTGTGTCTTTCATATATTAAGTTTGTGTGTGAAACAAAATATAGCAGACAAAACAAACAATTCTTCGGGCAAATCTTCAAGCAGAAGGGGCTTTTATTCCATCTTCCTACCGCTTGCCGCTGCCACCACTTGCTTTACAAGTGGTGGCAGCAGCAAGCGGTAGGAAGATGGAATAAATAGCACGTAGACTGACTGAGTTCCCTAACCGACAGATTGAGAGAGAGAAGCTTTGCTTGTAGATGAAACAGTATCTTCTTTTTATTTGTATCATTCTTATTGTGGATCAGTGTTTCTCAACCTGGGGGTCGGGACCCCTGAGAGGGGTCGCAAGGGGGTGTCAGAGGGGTTGCCAAAGATAATCGGAAAACACAGTAATTTCTGTTGGTCATGAAGGTTCTGTCTGGGAAGTTTGGCCCAATTCTGTTATTGGTGGAGTTCAGAATGCTCTTTGATTGTAGGTGAACCATAAATCTCAGCAACTACAACTCCCAAATGTCAAGGTCTATTTTCCCCAGACTCCACACCACTGTTCCCATTTGGGCATACTGGGTATTCATGCCAAGTTTGGTCCAGATCCATCATTGTCCACAGTGCTCTCTGAATTTAGGTGAACTACAACTCTCAAACTCAAATATATAAATATGTGTATAAATATGTGAGAGGAAGCCACAGGGAGCAAGCTTGTTTTCTGCTTCCTTGGAGACTAGGACGCGGAACAATGGCTTCAAACTACAAGAGAGGAGATTCCATCTGAACATGAGGAAGAACTTCCTGACTGTGAGAGCCGTTCAGCAGTGGAACTCTCTGCCCCGGAGTGTGGTGGAGGCTCCTTCTTTGGAAGCTTTTAAACGGGCTGGATGGCCATCTGTCAGGGGTGATTTGAATGCAATATTCCTGCTTCTTGGCAGAATGGGGTTGGACTGGATGGCCCATGAGGTCTCTTCCAACTCTGATTCTATGATTCTATGATCCTGATTTCCTAGCCTCAGTCTGCGTCTGCAGTAATCTTTGCACCTAGAAATACAAAGTCTGTCACGGCCTCCACGTTTTCTCTCTCTATTTCCCAGTTGTCAATCATTCTTGTTGCCATAATCTTGATTTTTTTAATGTTTAGCTGCAACCCAGCTTTTGCGCTTTCTTCTTTCACCTTGATTAGAAGGCTCCTCAGCTCCTCCTCGCTTTTGGCCATCAAGTGGTATCATCTGCATATCTAAGGTTGTTAATGTTTCTTCCAGCCATTTTAACCCCAGCCTTGCATTCGTCAAGCCCCGCACGTGTCACATGATGTGTTCTGCATAAAAGACTGATATGTGGATACATAAGAATGGGTTTCAACTTTTATTTATTTATTTATTTATTTATTTACATCACTTATATCCCGCCCATATCAACCCTCAGGCGACTCAGGGCGGTCTACATATCGGCACAATTCGATGCCATCAATACATACATTCAAAACCAAAGACAATTAAGTGCATTATTTATTTCTCGTGTCAGGGCAGCCAGTCAATTATATTACATTTCTAACAGAACAAAGCAAACAAACAGAGAAAATACAAAATGTGTGAGTTTGGTAGTTGATTAAATGTCCTTTGACCACTATCTGGCCACTTGGAGTGCTTCTGGTGTTGCTGCAAGAAGGTCCTCCATTGTGCAGGTGGTCAGTGGTTTGCTCTTCTCCGCACTTGCATGTCGAGGATTCCACTTTGTAGCCCCATTTCTGAAGGTTGGCTCTGCATCTCGTGGTGCCAGAGCGCAGTCTGTTCAGCGCCTTCCAAGTCGCCCCGTCTTCTGTGTGCCCAGGGGGGAGTCTCTCAGTTGGTATCAGCCATTGGTTGAGGTTCTGAGTTTGAGCCTGCCACTTTTGGACTCTCGCTTGCTGAGGCATTCCAGCGAGTGTCTCTGTAGATCTTAGAAAACTATGTCTGGATTTAAGTCGTTGATGTGCTGGCTGATACCCAAACAGGGGATGAGCTGGAGATGTCTCTGCCTTGGTCCTTTCACTATTTAAACAAAAAGACAGTGCAATAACAATTTAAAAAGAGCTATATCCTCTCATTCCAATCCTCGTCCGTTTCATCGTCTTGGCTGTTCCTGGGTCGTTCTCCATCTCAAGCTTGACTATCTATTCCGGGGTTCCGAATGCTTGCTCAAAGAGCCAGGTTTTCACTCTCTTCCAAAAAGTCAGGAGGGAGGGGGCTGATCTAATATCCCTAGGCAGGGAGTTCCACAGCTGAGGGGCCACCACAGAGAAGGCCCTGTTCCTCATCCCCGCCAAGCGTGCTTGCGAAGCAGACGGGATCGAGAGCAGGGCCTCCTCAGATGATCTTAACTTCCTGGAGGGTTCGTAGGAAGAGATGCGTGAGTATCAGTGAGTATTTAACTTGTTTCATTAACCAATTTCCCAGTTGTTCCTCAGCTTTTTCCTTTCAGGCCTTAACTCACTCACTAACTTTCCTTCAGCGTCCCTAACTGTCACAGAATCCTCAGTTGGGCTTTTTTCCATCTCCTAACTACTCCACATTGGAGAGTAGACACCTGACTCGCTATTTAATGCCGCCTTTCGCTTCCCGACTACCTGTCAGGAGACTAAACTGTTTTGGTCTAGTCCCACATCCTTAGGACTGACCATCCTTAAGCTCACCTCACGACCAACTGACTCTCTTTTTGAACCAACATTCCTTTTCTCCAGTGACAGTTGGCTCCGCCCCTTTTCCCCGGCCTGGTGGCTATGTTGCTATGGCAACGCCTGAGGCTTCTGGCGGCCTCTCAGCTAATACTAATAAACATAACCAAAACTTTGTACTTTAATTGGGCATGTCGTTACAGTGTGTTTCATATAATAATAATAATAATAATAATAATAATAATAATAATAATAATAATGATAACAACAACAACAATCGAACTGCAAAGACTCTGGCACAAGCCAGTCAAGGTGGTCCCAGTGGTGATCGGCACACTGGGTGCAGTGCCTCAAGACCTTGGCCTGGACTTAAACACAATTGGCGCTGACAAGATTACTAGGGCTGGGCGGTTTCGTTCGTTAATTTCGTAATTCGTTAATAATTCGTTATTTTTTGGGTAAACGAAGCGATAACAAACCATCCAGGAGCAACTAAAAAACGAAACGAATTTTTAAAGCTATTTCGTAATTGTTTTGTTATTGTTTCGTTATTATTTCCGTAAATAATAAAACTATTATTTAAAACTATTATTTTCACGTCGCGCAACCGCGTCCGCCATTTTAACGAATTGATTCGTTAATATTAACGAAATTTCGTAAATACCGAACTTTTTTAAGGGAAAATTTTGTAATTATTTTAAATATCGAAACAAAAAAACCCCCCAAATACAAATCGATTTTAGAAACAAATTTTTCCGTTGTTACCCAGACCTAAAGATTACCATCTCTCAGCTGCAAAAGGCCATTTTACTGGGATCGGCATGCATTATTCACCGATACAACAATTGAATTGGAAAGACTCTGGCACAAGCAAGTCAAGGTGGTCCCAGTGGTGATCGGCACACTGGGTGCAGTGCCTAAAGACCTTGGCCTGGACTTAAACACAATCGGCGCTGACAAGATTATCATCTCTCAGCTGCAAAAGGCCATCTTACTGGGATCGGCACGCATTATTAACCGATACAACAATTGAACTGGAAAGACTCTGGCACAAGCCAGTCAAGGTGGTCCCAGTGGTGATCGGCACATTGGGTGCAGTGCCTCAAGACCTTGGCCTGCACTTAAACACAATCGGTGCTGGCAAGATTACTATCTGCCAGCTGCAGAAAGCCACCTTACTGGAGGAGACGTGGTTTTAAAAAGGGAATTTTCAGATATATTCCCAATGCCCATATGTCATGATTTACTGCCATATTGGCCTATTTCTGCAGTAGGCCTTTGTTCACAGAAAATGCTGATTGTTTGAGAAATCAGTGCTCCAAAGAAGAAGTTACTCTTCAAGGATAACAGTATATTCGGACAAAACCAGCTAGCTGTTGGCTAGTTAGAACCCCCAAGTTTCCCAGTTGCTCTGAAGCCATGTTTGCAACAATGAACCATAGTTATGTTATAGTTGTGCCATTGTTAGGATCCCACGTGTGCTATAATGTCAATCAAAATCATAAACAACTAATGAACAACTGCATAGCTAGCTTAGACCAATGAAATGATTTGTCTTTGGGAACCAATGAAAATGTATATTCCATTTACTATAAATGCTCTGCAGCCCCATTGGGGGTTGCGACAAACCCTTTGATTGCATCCCTGTATGCTTGTTTGTCGTTATTGCTATGGCCATGCAATAATAAATAGTTTTTTGCAGTTTAAAGGATTCAACTTTCGTGGTGTCCATCCTTGCCCTCCCTATTGGAAAGGGGGCTTCTGCCTTTTGGGAAATATTTTGGTTTCATTGCCCCTACATGGCCATGTTCCAGAAGCATTTTCTCCTGACGTTTCTCCCACATCTATGGCAGGCATCCTCTGAGGTTGTGAGGTCTGTTGGAAACTAGGCAAGTAGTGACCAAAGTCCATTCCAAAAAAGATTTATTTATTTATCATGTCATCAGCAACCAGACAGTTGTATTACATTTTTAACAAAAACAATTCAAACAGACAAAAAACAAAGTTTGCAAGCTTGGTAGTTGATTAAATGTCCTTTGACCAGTATCTGGCCCCTTGGAGTGCCTCTGGTGTTGCTGCAAGAAGGTCCTCCCTTGTGCATGTGGCAGGGCTCAGGGTGCATTGCAGCAGGTGGTCAGTGGTTTGCTCTTCTCCACACTCGCATGTCGAGGATTCCACTTTGTGGCCCCATTTCTTGAAGGTTGGCTCTGCATCTCGTGGTGCCAGAGCGCAGTCTGTTCAGCGCCTTCCAAGTCGCCCAGTCCTCTGTATGCCCAGGGGGGAGTCTCTCATTTGGTATCAGCCATTGATTGAGGTTCTGGGTTTGAGCCTGCCACTTTTGGACTCTCGCTTGCTGAGGTGTT